AGGAAGGTCCCCCACCCCCTTTCAAAACCGCTTCCTTCTGTCTCTTCACCTCTAGGAAATCTCGGGGCTTTGCTCTATCGCAAGTGCTCGCCAGGGTGATTTCTGATCACCCCAACCCGAAGTGCTGGCGTCCGAATGCATTTTCGTCTGCTGTGCAAAGAAGAGCCATGAACTTAAAAACCCTCAAGACGGATTTTTAATCCTGCCTGGTAGGCAAGGAAAACCCTCCATCCCCCGCCACCGGCCACCCCTCTCCCGAGACTCTGCAATCGCCGAGGTGCTCAGAGCCGGTATGTAAGCATTGGCTTTGGAGTCTCTTGTCTTAATTTGGGGGTTTGGGGTGTCGGGAAGATAAAGGGTCGAAGCAGTGGAACCGATAACCAACCTGGTATTAGGTAAAGCTCTACAATCCAGCAGAACCCGGTAATTGCTAATTTGGACGTGGCTTAAACAAAAAAGATTTCTTTTTAGGATGAAAGGGTAGGGCTCTCTCTGGTCTTTTTTTGGGGGGAGGGGAGGGGGTAAACCTTTCACTGAGCAGAGAGGCTGGGCATCGGTGCCCCGGGCCGGAGCCACGCGCCGCGACCATCAGTACAATCGACACGTTGCAGGTGAAGCCCTGCGGGGCGGGGGGCGTGTGTGTGCGCGTGTCAGTGTGCCCCTTCCAAGAAATGCCCAGTGTGCACCCCATGCACAAGCAGAACCCATTCAGCACCAGCCCGGGGTGGGAGGAGGCACTGCTGCTGGAAGCGATGGGCAGAGCGAGACAGACGTGTCAGCAGCAATGCAGATGGGGCTGGGGGCCTCACTCGCTGGCGAGTTAAGTGGGGATGGTGTTCCTGCGTGTGTGTGCGTGTGCGTTGCTATGTGGTACCGCTTCTCCCTCGCTGCATCCTGCCTTCCCACTTCCCTCCTTCGCTTCCTCCCTCCCGCCCTCTCTCCGCTTCCATTCAGCCTGGCTTTCCCACCTCTCATCCATGCCTGTCCCAGGAATGGTATAGCCAGACCTTTTCTGAATTATTTATAGACCTGTGCCAGCTGTTTTCAATTCCTCTCGTGTGCACTCTGTGGGAAATGCGGGGTTTCCAACCCCGTTTTCCTGAAAACGAATTGATATCTTTTTCAGAATGCATTTTTCTCACCCTCCGGGGGATCCTGGAATAAAACCCTCTAACAGCCTCTTTTTCCCCCTTAGGAAGGGGACGCTTTGGGAATGACCATGCTCCGAGGAGGGACAGAGCTGGCCCCCAGCTTCTCTACACACAGCCTCCTCCACTAACGCTCCAAAAATCAAAAAACCGTAATTGCCAGAGGAATCATTAAAAAAAAAAATAGTCCAGCCACCAACCTCACATGCAAAGGGAATAATTACTCTGGATTCTGCATCGTGAGCTGCTCTCCATCCACTGACTTACCTTTGAATTCAATCTTTTTTTTTTCTTTGAATTTGCATCTCTTCAAGACACAAGATTCAAACAAAATTCACGATAAATTGGATTTTAAATTACCTTCCTTTCATTTATCCTTCATCTTTCTTATGTGGATATGCAAGCGAGAAGAGGAGCTTGGACATTCCCAACATGCTCACTCCCTTAATCCGATCGTCTAGAGGTTTGGCTTCTACAAACCAAGGTAAGGCACCTTCTATTGTATTTTCTTCTCACCTGGGGTAAGAGATTCTTTGTTTATCTCTCTTCAAGTCCCTCAAGTGGATTTTTTTTTGAAAGAAAAGGTAACACGACAATAAAATAATGCTGGTCTGGGGAGACAGGCTTATTACAAAGGGGTAAAACTCCCATGTTATTTCTTTTCCTTCCTTATCAAACAGGTTTTGGGTTTTTTGGAGGCAGTGGGGGTGGATGTCTATAGGAACAGAGGATATTGAATGGCATAAGGGTTTTTCTTTTCTTCTTTTTTTTTTATGCAGTCACGACTGGGAAACCTGTGTGATTTTCAAGTTAAATGTCATTTTATTCATCCAGTGCTAAAGCTCTGATTTTATGGTGG